CGGGGGTGGCGCCGGGACCTGCTAGCAGGAGCGGCCGCGCTTGGCGCGCCCCGCGTGGGGAGCCAGGCCCGAGGGCGCGGGGCGCAGCGCTGGGGGAGGGAGCTCGGACCGCCCGGCAAGCCAGGTGTGTGCACGAGTGTGTGCACGGTGCACGTGGGCGTGCACGTGGGCGAGCGGGTGGGCCCCACGTCCTGAGGATTCCCTTGGAAATGGCCCCACGCCGGCGCTCCCGGGAAGTGGAGTGCTGTCGCCGAACTAGAGCCACGTCCCTGGGGACAGGCCCGGGCCACCGCGGTTCCAGAGCTTGGAGAGGGGCCTGCCGCCCACCTACGCGGGCTCTGGGTCCCCGGGCGCCCCCGACCTTGCCTGTGAGCTGGTTCTGAATTGTCGGGATCGTGGGAGGCTTAGCTACCCGGTGGAAAGGCCGGGTTTTGTTTCGCGGTTATTTAATGAGCTCTAAAGAGGCATCGTTTGCAGACACCGCCTGTCTGTCGGTGGAGGGCTGCTGGATTCCGCCAGATTTGCGTTGGTTCGCCATCCTTCCATTCACTCCCTGAGAAAAAGGGATCTGTGGAAAGCCAATCTGTGTCTTTCTATTTTTAGAAACTTGATGAGGGGCACTTAAACAACTCCCTGGGCTCTCCAGTTCAAGCCGACGTGTACTTCCCACGACTGGTAAGTGATTGTGCTCAGTGTCTCTGCCCGTCCCCTTCCTTTCTGATATATTTTTCTGATACATTTTTCTATGGGTCAGGTCCTCAGGGCGACAGCTTGGCGCTGCTCTAACAGCCAGTAAACTTGCCGTTTCTCCTCCTCTCTTTTGCAGATAGTTCCATTTTGTGGACACATTAAAGGTGGCATGAGACCAGGCAAAAAGGTGTTAGTGATGGGCATCGTAGACCTCAACCCAGAGAGGTAAGGACAGAGCCCTCCCATCCCAGGCAGTGGCAGGGCCCTGCCCACTCCTGCCCACAGTCTCCTCCTCTTCCTCTCCTTGTGGACAGTGTTGCTAGTTGGGATGCCAAGAAAGTACCATGTTCCCATGAAAAGAATGTGTATGAATCCCAGCCATCATTTCTTTAGATAGCTATTTATATCTCAGATGATAAAAATAGACCCACAGTTTCTCTTTGACCCTTAAGAGAGGCCAAAGATTTTTTTCTTTTTTATGATTTTAAAACATAGCACTTGGAACAAAAACTATTTGTATAAATAAGAACCAAACTTTATAAGATATTTCCCCTTGTCAGCTTCTGGGACTGTTTTTGAGAATTCTGGAATGGATTAAGGCACAGATGGGTGGCCTTGGGGCATTTGAAGTCTAGTTTCTGTTATTTTCATTGCACCAGTTTTCTCCCGAGCCTGCTTTAGGTAAGGAAATCTATTGGTTTGAGTGTAATAATCCTCTGCATCTAAACTCTGCGCAAACAGTAGTGGCCCATTAGCAACAGATAAACCCGAAGGGGAGGAATTGGGTCATGCTGCAATGTTCCATCCAACTCTGGAGAAATGGCACTATTTTCTTTTCAGCTTTGCCATCAGCTTGACCTGCGGTGACTCTGAAGATCCTCCTGCCGACGTGGCAATCGAACTCAAAGCTGTGTTCACAGACCGGCAGCTCCTCCGGAATTCTTGTATATCAGGAGAAAGGGGTGAAGAGCAGTCAGCGATCCCTTACTTTCCATTCATCCCAGACCAGCCATTTAGGGTAGGTACCTCGAATGCCTCAGTGCAGTTGTCGGCAGGACTGAGAGGCGTTCCTTATGTACTGCATGCCAAGAGCTCTTTAAGAATTTCTGCATGTCTAAGAAATCTGTCACCCAGTGGTGCTGATAGAAGTTAGTGTAATACTTGTCATCGCAGCCCTTGGTTTTGTTCGGCCTGTATGTTTAGATAGTGCATGCCCATGTATATATCCAGATTGCTAAGAAATACTTTAACATCTCTACTTTGCCATTTGGGCAGGAACTAATTATTAATTAATTAATTAATTACATTTGGGGCAGTACTGAGGATTGACCTAGGGCCTTACACATGCTGGCAACGGCTCTACAACGGAGCTGCATCCCCAGGCCTCTTTTTACTTTCTGTTTTGAGGCAGTGTCTCACTAAGTTGCCCAGGCTGGCCTTAAATTTGTGATCCTCTGGCCTCGGTTTCCAGAGTAGCTGGGATTACAGGCCTGTATCATCAGGGCAAGCTGCAAGTATTAATTTAGCACTTTTCTATGTAATATTCAACATAGTATTAGGCATATAGTGATGACCTGCCCCCAAGGATCTAATTGATTATTAAATATTAGTAAGTATCCAGAATTTCCTTCATTTTTCTGGGCCTTTAAGTAGCTCAAAGCCTTATTAGTTGTGACTTTAAAACAATTTAGTGACTATCATTTTATTTTCTCTTGTTCTCTTTGCTAATGAGGCCATTTTTTTATATTTGTTTTTCCCTGTGGGTTAATTAAGCCTGTCTATTTTATGGTTGCAAGCTACGTAGCAGACAAATTTCTTCCCTTGAGCCTGTATGAATATAGATTTGCTCCTACATCTAGAAGGCAAAATGCAGCCCAAACTTGCCATCTAACCAAGCAGTAGTAGCAGTACCTTTTCTGCAGGACAATGCCAAATAAGAGGTGCAAGTCCGTAATGTAAGAGAAAATGACTTGCTAGCAGGTCAGTCCTGGTGATGAGGTTGTCTGCATTACCTGCTCCCAAACAGCATGGTAATGGCAACTTAGTTCAAAACTTTGCACTGAATACAAGCCTGATCAAACAGAACTTCCCTTAAAATGTTCTTTATGTGGAAATTTTTAAGGCCTTTTGATTATTTCTTTCCTTATAGTCTGGAGGCAAAATAAAAATCTGTGACTTTTTTTTCATCAGCAATAAAACTTGAATATTCATAGACTAGGAAAGGCACCCCCTCTCCCCAAACCCCTCTTCAGAATATGTTTTTAGTGGGCTCCTTTTGCAATGCCAGTTTCCTAAATGGTAAATCTGTGTATGTTCCTGCGCGCGTGTGTGTGTGTGTGTGTGTGTGCGTGTGTGTATACGTGTGTATACATGTGTTCATGTGAAGGGTAGAGGACAACCATGGGTGTCCTAAGGAACACCACCATCCCTTCGAGATAGGGCCTCTCATTGGCCTAGAGCACACCAGTTAGGCTAGACTGGCTGACCAACAAGCCCCAGGGGTCCTGGAATTATAGATACACACTGCTCTTGGCATTTTTTAAAAATTGAATTCAGGCCCTGTACTTGCAAAGCAAGTGCTTTACCAACTGAGCTATGTCCCCAGCCCCTTAAATAGTAAATCTTAACATCTAATTCATTGTGAGTGACCAGAGCTTCTGACCAGAAGGACTATAATGCTTCAACAAAAACTGAGTGAAACCGACCTTTCTTGATGATATAATTTAAATAGTAATATTAATTAAATGTGACTAATATCATGTATAGAGTCTCTCCTTGCATGGTGATTACTGATGCTTTTAATAAATACATCATAGCACAGAGCCAATAATTAAACCCTGTGGTGAATTACTTAAGGGAAAGGAGAGAAAAAAGGTTTACCATGTGGAATCAGTATTTGTTTGGCTTAACAGAGCCTTGTTAATTGCACATTCTTGGTCCAGTGGTAATTACTGTGTAATCCTCCCTTAGTGTTTACCCTTTTTGTCTAGACTGTTATTAGATGCTGCTAATGGCTACCAGTTCTGCCACAGGAGGGGCTCCTTAGGTGGGATGAACTATTCAAGGAATGATGGTGAAAGTATTAAGAGCCATATAAACATATGTGTGTCACTTTTTGTATCACTTTATGGAGTACAGGCAGATAGATGTGTTCCAGCCTGAGCAGTTTAGTTTAAAGTCTATAAAAGATACAGAGTAGTGGTTCTCAAAGTGGGGTCCCTGCTCCAGCAGCTCAGCGTTACCTTGGAATTTGGTGAAAGTGCAGATTCTTAGACCTTACCCTGGACCTCCTGAACAGACTGTGGGGAGTAGGACCCAGCAGTCTGCACTCTAACTAGCTGTCTGCGTGGTTCCAGGGTCTTGTGATGTTTGAGACTTACTTAGGATGCTGAAGGGGTATTTTGTTTTGTTTTCTCCATCAGAGTGCATCTAAATTGCACAGTAAGTTATTATTTTGTTTCTTCTAGGTGGAAATTCTTTGTGAGCATCCACGTTTCAGAGTGTTTGTGGATGGACATCAACTTTTTGATTTTTACCATCGTATCCAAACATTATCTGCAATTGACACCATAAAGATCAATGGGGACCTCCAGATCACCAAGCTTGGTTGATGGTGTTTAAAGCACTTCTATTTCAAATAGGATCAGGTGCCACAACTACACAGCTGTCTGGAAGAAATATCCGAGCAAGATCTGGAGACTTAAAAAGACAAAGAAAACAAAAACAAAAGGCGAGCTTCACGTCTCTTTCTGTGCAGTTTAAGTACAGAATGGCAACTTGACCTGTGGTTTGCCCAGAGGAAGAATGCTGGCAGCTCATCGAGCCATTATTCCCAGAACAAAGTCATACATTTATGCTGGATTCCATTCAGACTAAACGCACATGGATTTGTGATGATTTGTAATTTAGTAGCAAATTATTCTTCATTTCAAAGCAAAGTGATATTCAGAAACAAAAGTGCTAAAGACCTTAAAAACAACAACGGTACAGCAAATCAATGCATTTCTACACTGAAGTGGATTGCGTAGCACAACCAACATTTTAGTCAGGGTATTTACATAGAATGTAGATTGTACAAGGTTTGGTTTTTGTTTTGTTTTGCACAGCATAATGTTAACTCAGATTTTTTTAAAAGCTTTCTCGGTTATTTATTTATATTCAATGTATGTATTAATGTATCAGAGAATGAGCGATGTCTGCAAATTATGAATTTAGGTCTGAGAGGGTGAATTGTGTATTACAATCATAAAACAGGTAGATTTATACCTTAAAGAACTGGGTCATGTTCTCCACACCCCTCAGCTTGGGCTCTTAACATTTACTGTAAGTGCTTTTGGGAAAAATTTGCAACATTTTGATAAAACTGCTTTTCAAGTTTTTGTTATTGTGTGAAATTCTAATTTGCATTGCTTTTTCTCCTTACTGTGAATTAGCACAATATTGGCTTCCTTAAGACTACACTTTAGATTTACATAATAGGTCATTAAGTTGTTATTAAATTAATGGAAAACATATAAGAGATGATTGCATAGACAATTTTTAAAATAACTACTATATCAACTTTTAATAGTTTGTTATGAAAGTGACCCTGGAATGCAGTACAAAGCAGAAGCAGATTGCCCCAAATAACTTACTGGGAAATAATTTATAGCAACTTAGGCTCTTAGCTCATCGTATAACTTTTCTTATGAGACCCTCCCCAGGATCCCTGAGCAATGCCTTTGGACCTTCAGAGTAGAAGAGGCTTCCTCCACATTGGTTTCTCAGCTGGTGAGATTTGGTAGGATTCATATTACCGAAGGAGCCAGTTAGTTTATAGGGAAGATTTAACTCTAGCCAATAGCGTGAATGCTTTCCAGTGAAACTTTGCTGAACTTGCAGAACTGATCAAACAGAAGCTGTCTCCAGCAGGTGGCTGCAGACTGTAAATGTAACTGCAAAGCTAGGGATGGAGTGGTGGGCACTGGCCTTCACGTGCTGCCTTGGTCCCTCAGCATTGCTTTGGCCAGGTAGTAGGGGAAGAACGGGGTGCTGGGTGGGGGTGTATTTATATATAATTTAGGTTTTGTTTGTACAGCACTACTGTGTCTTGTTAGAGGACCTCCTTGTCCCGCTTTGCTTTTGAGGGTTTTTTACACAACATGCAGAGACACTGAAGTGGCCGTGTCATCTTCACGTGTCGAGAATGTAGACAGTGTTTCAGAACCAAAGTCTCAGATAAATAAAGCAAACTAAAATAGTGAATTTTTTATAGATGATATATTTGGATTCTTCTCAACTTTGAAACCGTTTAGCATAGTTCCATGGTGTTACATACAAACAATGTCCACCAAGACTGGCTGCACATCACAAAGCTTTCTGTACCTGCTGAATTCAGCCATGGTCGGCCATGATGGCTATTCTGTAGCTCCAGGATATTTTTAAGCCTATGATTAATTTCTCATGTGCTGTATGCAAAGCCACTTGTAAGGAGTCTCTGTAAAGAGAGTTAGCACCCTGGAATATATTTGTAAGGGTTTTGATTCAATTGATGGTGTAAGACCCCATCCGAGGACTCTTGGGTGGCCAAGCATGCATAATTCAGCAGAAACTAGAGAAGTAGGGGAGTGTAAATGCTTGCAAGTAACATGGTTACTGATCAGCTAAACTCATCAGCAGCCAAGCCTTTAGGCTGCTTAGAATGGAAATAGAGTATTAACCCTGTGTTTCCCTACGTGTCAGTGAAATCCTCTTGGATAAGCCTCCTGAGATGCATTTAAATGGTGTGATGACTTGATCTAGGACTACCCAAATGAATAGGGGGCAAATCCCATCGTCCCAATGGCTACCTAGAAACTAGAGCATGTTCACACTCTCCTTACCTGTGAGGTCTAAAGTGGGAATTTCAGAATGGAAAGTGCAATTTAAAACTTCACGGGAAAGTATTTGCATATATAAGGAGTTATTTTTGACCAGAGCCCTAGTTTTGAGATACCCAAAACCAGGGGATAACAATCAGGCTCTGGGGAAATAAGCAGGCTTTAGACAATCCATGCAGCAAAACTGAAGTGAATGTGTCTATCTACGGAGTTGAATAGAAGTGACTTGACTTTCTGGGCTCTCCCAGAATTGTCTTAAAATTATTTTTTTTAATTTTGAAGCCCCATTTCAAATCTTTCCAAATTTAGTTCAAAACCCTTTAACAGATCTCTTTTAAAATTGATTATGCATTAAATGACAAATCTATTAAAAGAAAAGATCCAAAAGAAGGAGAGAATCCTATTGCCTTGGCATTTTCCAACACTAATATAAAAATCATATTCCTATGATGACGTATTTTCAAAGAAACACTTTCTTATTTACTGCGTGGTGTAAAGTGTCAAATGTGTTGTTACATTATGTCACTGCTGAAAGTTATTTGCACTATAATAAAGGAATTTTCTACAAGATGGCTCCCAGATTATTACATGCCACATTTGGCCCCAGATACCATGTCCTTATCATAGACCATGTGATGTAACAGAGGCCCCTCTATCTCATACACTACAATTCCACTTTTATATGTGTTTTCCACATTGATAAAGGCAAGGAAAATGTCTCAGGGGCCTCCAGAGACTGGCTGAGTTTGTGTTATGGATGCATAGGTTCTGTCTTAATAAAATGTAAAACTATTTTGCATGTGGTAAGTTTACTTTGGTGGACAGCTCTTGAGCATAGATTATATATTACATATATATCATACATGCGTAGATTTAGAATGTAACTATTTTAATCAGGATATGGAATCATGGCCTCACCCTGCAAAATTCTACTGTGCTATCCCTTTGTAGTTAAACTTGTCTCCAACTCGTAACTTTGAACAGGCAGCTTTGCACTTTCTGGAATGTTGTGGAAAAACGGAATCACATAATATGCACCCCATAATGTTTTGGAGTTGGCATCTTTGAATTTGCATAATGCATTTGAGCTGCACTTATGCTGTGTGTTTCCACAGTTTTTCCTTATATTGCTGAGCAGCATTCCACTGTTCAAGGATGTAATAGTGCTCTCTCTCTCTCTCTCTCTCTCTCTCTCTCTCTCTCTCTCTCTCTCTCTCTCTCTCTCTCTCTCTCTGTCTCTGTCTCTGGTCTTTCTGTCCAGGTGTAGCCCAGGCTGTCTTCAAAATTGCAATGCTATTGCTTCAGCATCCCAAGTGAAGGGGCAATGGATTCTTGATATATCATTAAATACAATTTTAGTACAGTATATACGTAATAGCAAGGCTTTTTCTTTTGTGCTGTCTTCCTGTGGTTTGAATGATTAGGAAAGAAATTTGATTCTTGGGCTATTCAGCTTTCAAAAACTGAATAGCTTATAGAAGTATTGCCCAGCTTTTGTTACCAATAAGGTGACAGATTTACCCACATTCTGGACCTAGGATCTTATTTTTACTAAACTAGTTTTCCTAATTCCTTGTTAAGAGGGCAGAGCTGTGAGGTTGGTTTGCTGCATGCTCTCTCAAGGCTTTTGCAGTTCAATCCTAGCCAGGAGAGTGTTGCCAAAGTGAGACATGAGGCTGCCAGCAGAGATTGAAATTTCCCTGATGCCCTCAGCCAGGCTAGGAAGGTCCCTTAGGAATAGGACATCATACCACTATTGTGACAACATGTTAAATTAGATAGTCCGTAGAGATCAGTAATTAGAGCCTCTGCGGCCACAACCACTTAAAGCCACATTCATTCAACAAGTATTTGCTGAGCTGTGTCAATTGCTGTTCTCTAGACACTTTGACCCATCAGTGAGTAAAAAAGATCCAGGTCTTCCGGTGGTTTTAAATTCCCATGTACTGTCAGAATGCCTGCTTGCATGTCCATCCTCACCTCTAGGAGACTATTTTTGTAGATCTGAAATAGGTAAGGCCCAGGAGTTTGTGTTTTTAAGAAAATAAGCCTACACACAGGTAGTCCTGCATCCCAGATGAAGCAGTCCTTTAAAGAACTCCCAAACAGTCACGGAGCCAAACTTGGCCTTGAGTTCTCATCTGTGGATACCATTGTGTGAAAGGCGCTTTTCAATATAAACATCCTGCTTTGACAGCCCTGTAACTGTCATTAATTGCATGACTATTGCACAGTGTTCTCCCTGCATTAACCTCCTTTTCCCCTCATTCCTGCCTCTTCATCAAAAATGCATTGTGGTAAAAGAATATTTGCCTTTCAAAGGACTTGTAAAAATCCCTCTTGTTTGGGTTGATGAGGACCTGAATTCTCTGACTTCTGCTTTAGACAGTGAGCACTTTTTAAAGTTAAGATTCTGGGAGAAGCCCATCTTTTTCTTAGTCTTTCAGTTATTCACTGTAAAGTCGAGGCAAATATATATGGTGACTTACAACCTGAAAAGAAGCTGAGGTCAAGAAACAGTGGCCCACGTGACTTTCCATGGGGACTTTGGAATTAATTTAAAGTGTTTTCATAAGAAAATGCACCTGAGTCCCCACCATGCTCTCAATCGCCTCCAGCCGCCTACTTCTTAATCACCATTAATTTCACAATGATTTTTCCTTAAAAAAAAAAAAAAAAACTATCCTGTATAAAGCAGAGAACGGCTTTGTGAAACATATACTTCATAATTAGTTGAAAATGGGCGTATCTAAGGTGCTGAAGAAGAAATAGCCACTGACGCGTTCTCTTCCTTTGATACACCCTTCCACTGCTCAGAAGGACACAGTGGCTAGGTGAGCAGGCAGCGGGAAGGAGGCGCCACTGTTTGATAGGGCATCACAGTCCCTAAATAATAGGCCTTGGAAAGCAACAAGCCAGCCACAGGCCTTGGGCACGATGTGGGGTTTTGAGGCTCTCCAAGCTTTCATGAGCTAGAAGAATAACAAACCTTTGCCAATAACCCAGCACCTCCTTTTCTGTCAGTGTCTTGTCTCTCATTTGTCCTCCTTCCTTCCCTCACCATGTTGCCTAGGCCACAGCACCCAGATACCATTAATTTTAAAGCAACAGATGCAAATGATCAAATCTTACCTAAACAGCTATTCTAAGAAGAGATTGTCTCTGGTGAGGTCCAGGGGCCGGGAGTAGGGTGGCAGCACACCCTGGATTTGTGAAGTGTGTTCAGGCGGGTACTCTCAACCAGCAGCCTTTTTGTACCTCCTGTGGGAACGAGGATTGCAATGGGCCCTGATGACAGCACAGGTAGCAGTGGGCTGTACAGGAATAAAGCATTTCTTCCAGCGGATGGAGCCAACATTTAAAATAATCATGACACCAATTTCTATAACAACCCTCCATAGCTGTATAAAGAAGCAGTATAAAAAAAAAAGTGCTAATTTTCATGAACATTTCATTCATTAGAATGTTTCCCACACAGTTTCACTGGAGCCTTATTTAAAAATTAACCAAGGGCAGGCCTGGCATTGCACACCTGTAATCCCAGCATTTGGGAGATGGAAGCAGGAGTATCAAGAGTTCAAAGTCATCCTCTGCTACAAAAAGAATTCGAGGCTAGCCTAGGCTATGCCTCAAGAAAAACAAAAACCCCCAAACCAAAACACCACACACACCAAAAATCTAACCCAAAGTAGCAGTTTATTAGGAAACATTTAGGATGGTGTTTGAAAACTTAGAGCTTTTTGCATGTATATATGGTATGTGTACATATGTGCATACATGTTTGCATGTGTGTGCAGGTGGGTGTGTAGAGGCCAAAGGTTAACACTTGCACAGCAAAGACTTTATCCACTGAGCCATCTCCCCAGCACCTACTTAGGGATTTTTTTTTACTGTGGATTATTACAACTATTATAATATTACAAAGCTGAAATTTCTCCTAATGCAATAAACTTTAACATAATATTAAGTGACATTTAATGCTATAATTAAAAACTTAACAAGGAAGACAGGCAGGAAATAATGAGGAACTGCTGAAAACAGGTTTATGGATGAGTTCTTTCATGGAGCAGAATCTATTAAGATTCTAATCATTTGCTTAATCACTAATTTTTTAAGTTCTCTAAGAAATCACAGACAGCATCGGAAGAGGTTGGAGATAGACCTGTTTTCATAAGACATTCATGAAAGTCAGTTACTGGGGCTACCTCAAAGGTTTATAAGACTCCTAACATTTCCTTTGCTCTTGTAAATGTCTTGAGAGTCTCCTTATAATCCTACAAATTAAAAGAAAAAATATACAGCCTCCCAAATTAAAAAGGCAAATGCTGGCCTTTGTGCATCTAAAGTATGCCTGTATAGTTAATTCCTGCCCATGGTTCCTCTCACCTATAAGATATTAGATATGAATTCATAAGAAGGCCGCATATTAGACAGTGTGGGTTATAAAGAGATAAAAGACACACACCATCTGTCCTTGAAGAATTTATGACTTCACTGGAGAGACAAGATGTTTGCATATAAAACCTAAGTAAAAATGATCATCCATAGCTAGTTACAGCCAGAATGGGCAGAGTACTGCCTGCTCTGGGAGTCTGGGAGGACAGAGCTTTCAGCTGGTGGGGTGACCTAGGGGCTTTGGAGTTTGAAGGACTCCAGCTAAGCACCTTCCCTCACCAGAATCTACTAATATCCTGCTTGATCTGTAGAGCCAGTGGGTGTTGAATTTCTGGCTTCCTCAAGAAAGAGCTCAGGAAGGAACTGTACCGGTTTTGTTTTGTTTGGGGTTTGGAGAACAGGGTTTCACTTAATAGCCCAGGCTGGCTCAAATTTGCAATCATCCTCCTGCCTCCAGCTCTCCAGCACCAAGATTACAGACATGCTCCACCATGCCCAGATTTTATTTTCTTTTTGGTTATTCTTTGTGCTGTTTAGTTATAAACAGCTGGATCTGACTGGAAAGGTAACCCCTTCTTTAATCAACCCCTGAGCAAAGAAAGACGCTTCACAGACTCTGAGAAATCACATGTGAATGTATCTAACATGCTCAAACTTCTGCTCTACCTGTTTGGCATCAGAAGAAAAGCAAAAGGCACTGGATCTAGGAAAAGCAAACCACTAATCCTGTGGGCAATTCACCTGTCATTCCTTTGAAAGAGCCAAGAGCCTAAGAATGGAGATGTAATTCAAGCCGCATTGTCATCTCCTGGGTCTCTTATAACTCAGCCCTTTTGCTCCCTACGGTGTTATACCAGAGTTTAAAGACACCTCTTGTGTGTCTTAAACATTACCTTGAACCACAAAGTCCTAAACCTCAAGCTCAATGAAAGACACAAATGACTGCTCCAAGGCTGGATTAAAAAACTGTAGCATGGAGCTGGAGAGATGGCTCAGCAGTTAAGAGCACTGACTGCTCTTGCAGAGGACCTGGCTTCAATTCCCAGCACCCACATGGCGGCTATAAACCGTCCTTAACTCCAGTTCCAGGGGAATCCAAAGGCCTCTTCTGACCTCCGTGGCATTGCATGACACCGGTGCACTCACATGCATGCAAGCAATACACTCATACACATGAAA